CATTTAAACCATGCCCAATTGGCACTAAGGGGCCCAAAGTGTGCCAAGAAAACATCCCCCACACCATGACACCACCACCAGCAGCCTGCACAGTGGTAACAAGGCATGATGGATCCATGTTCTCATTCTGTTAACGCCAAATTCTGACTACCATTCAACAGAAATCGAGACTCATCAGACCAGGCTACATTTTTCCAGTCTTCAACTGTCCAATTTTGGTGAGCTGGTGCCAATTGTAGCCTCTTGTTCCTGTTTGTAGTGGAGATGAGTGGTACCCGGTCGGGTCTTCTGCTGTTGTAGCCCATCCGCCTCAAGGTTGTGCGTGTTGTGGCTTCACAAAGGCTTTGCTGCATTCCTCGGTTGTAACGAGTGGTTATTTCAGTCAGAGTTGCTCTTCTATCAGCTTGAATCAGTCGGCCCATTCTCCTCTGACCTCTAGCAACAACAAGGCATTTTCGCCCACAGGACTGCTGCATACTGGATGTTTTTCCCTTTTCACACCATTCTTTGTAAACCCTAGAAATGGTTGTGGGTGAAAATCCCAGTAACTGAGCAGATTGTGAAATACTCAGACCGGCCCGTCTGGCACCAACAACCATGACACGCTCAAAATAGCTTAAATTACCTTTCTTTCCCATTCTGACATTCAGTTTGGAGTTCAGGAGATTGTCTTGACCAGGACCACGCCCCTAAATGCATCGAATCAGCTGTCATGTGATTGGCTGATTAGATAATTGCATTAAGAAGAAGTTGAACAGGTGTTCTTAATAATCCTTTAGGTGAGTGTATTCCCGGAGTATTTCTCTTATCCGATGGCACCATCTAGTGGCTGACAAGCATATCACATATATAGTCAGTCGATCTGTTTTTTTACGATGGCGACTTCACGTTCCTTGCTTCTGAATGTGCTTCTGTAGCCGACAAACGGAGCTAAAACACGCTGTTTTACAAGTATTATTATGATAAATGACCCGCACTTGTATAGCGCCTCTCAGAGTAAGGACTCCAAAACACTTTACAGTGTATCATTCATCCATTCACACACACATTCACACACTGATGGTGATGAGCTACGATGTCGCCACAGCGGCCCTGGGGCGCACTGACAGAGGCGAGGCTGACGAGCACAGGCGCCGCCAGTCCCTCCGACCACCACCAGCAGGCAAGGTGGGTTAAGTGTCTTGCCCAAGGACACAACAGCAGAATTCTCTGTCCGGAGCCGGGATCAAACCTGCAACCTTCCATTACTGGACAGCCCGCTCTACCTGTTGAGCTACTGCTGCTATTCTCATGTCATTTTGTGTTTTCATAAATTTATATTTTAAACACTTACTTGTCTGTGAAAACGTCATCAACTCTGCATCAAAAACATCAAAAACAAACAATAAATGATGAACAAAAGTCTGATTCTAAGCCTGCAGAAGGAGAGAAAAAAAAGAAAAGGGACACACAGCAATACAACAGGAGCAAGCTATCACTGCGTCAACCTGATGAGGAAATATAAAATCAACATTGTTTTACTGAACAATCATGATAATAAATCACAGTGCATTAAGTGCCAACCACAGCCTTACATGGTGGACGAGTGTGTTCTGTTATGGTGGACGAGTGTGTTTCTACCGGCTGAAAAGCATCACGATTTGGATGTGTCCCGGAAGCTTATGGATGTCTATTTTTACGCACTACACTTCCAGAACGCGTCAAGCTCAGCAGTTCATATCAGGCCAGAGAGGAAGTCAAAGAGGAAAGCAGTGTAAAACTTCTGGAAACTTTCAAAATAAAAGTCATGTGCACATTTCCTGTTGCTTAAATAGTAAGAGACATCCGTCGTCTCCTGTGAAACCTTCGTAGCCGAGGTAAACGGAACAGAAAATAAACCAGACTCTTTTGGATACATGCTGCCTGCCTCTTTCAGTAACATTAAACTGCTTCTGTGTATGAAATGTGCTACAAAACAAAGGCGCCTTGTCATAAATAAACTTATTTCACTAAACTGAAGCAAATCTGTTTCCACCTGTTAAATTCCAGAGTAAAACTGTTAAAACAGGGAAAAGAAGCAGGCCTGGAAGATTTAATGCTGATGCAGCTGCATTAGAGTACAATACTGTATTAGCCCGGGTCCAGAAGGTCCATCAATAAGTTATTCATGCCATTAATAGACTTGTAGGGCTCGATGGGAAGCTTCATTAGAAACCTGAGATTGGAATCGATTGTTGTCTAATTCCCAGAGAAACAACAGCATGTGATCAAGCTCTTGGAGATTCAATCCCCTCCCAAGCAATCCAAAGGAGATGCAGGAATATCGAGAGCGCTATGGATTTTCCTGGAGCTTTAAATGGACTCTTATGCTCTCATGTAAATCCTTTAGTAAAGAACAGCCAGAGCCAACACGCCTGTACGAATTCATCTGAGATAATAAACACATTTTTATCTGCTCTTGTTTGTTTTTCTCCCCAACCTGATGAATCCAGTTGCCTCAACAGTCTGCTGACCGCCGTCTAATCCAACGTAAAACCCCATTTCAAAGCTGTGATTAGTTGGAGTGACGGCAGGATGCTATGTGCTTCCTGCGTTGGCTCTGATTCGATTTGTAGTGACTTGAAGGAGAAGGCCTCCTTTGGCTGCTCATGAATGACCCATAAAATCCATTTAAATTTAATATTCTCATCCCTGATCGCGGGTTTTTTGGGGCTTTATTGTTCTGAGTTAATCAAATTTTAGAAATTATTTGCTAGATTATTCGGCTTGGTGACTCCATGTCCTGCACAGTGATGAGGACCTGATCTTTCCTTTGTGACCCCTCCTGAAGTGGATCCACTCAGATTTCTCAGACGAGCCACCTGAAACCGTCCACGGGTCACCACCTTCTGTAGGTTCCCTTCGGCTCCTCTGCTCTTCGGCAGCACCAGTATCAGGAGTTAAAAGGTTCCGGTTGCCTGCCTCTGAGCTTACTTGTAGCACTTTCAAAGTTTTTCCATTTGGATCGCTGTGCTGTGTTCTCAAGTCGTTCTGTTCACACAGACTGGTGTGCCGGGCCAACGTTAGTGGCGTCGTTGCCAAAGTGATGTGATGAACATGGGAGCTTGTTGTGAGTGCATGGTGGCGTTGGCGGGTGGGGGTGTGAGCAGCATTTGCATGTGTCAGACGAGAGGCAGTTACTGTCATCGGAGGAGAGAGAGCGCCTCTGATCAGTCCTGTAGACGCGTAGCCATGCACTAAATAAAATATTCCACGGGTTGGCTCATTTTGTATTACTTGCTGCTGTTGTCCTTCAGCCCGCTAGCTTAACATTTCTGCTTAAATGTCAACGCAAATGCTGCAGGTTCAAGTGTCAAGGAAAAATACCACAGTAAATAAGGCCAGAGAATGCCAGACTTTAACATTTAGTCAGCGTCCTTATGAATTTAAGTCCTGTTATTATGTTTCAGTTAAGCTGCACGATAATGGAAATAAGCACCGACATTGAATGCTGTGATGGCGATTTTACATAAAGCCACATTTTCCTCTTTGCACCTCAGTCTGATTGGGCTGGTGCTTTTATTTGTACTGCCTTCTGGCCCTTTTGAAAACCGAATACAAGTTTTTTAAAACATCAGAACAAGAATGATGGCAGACTAAAAAATTCCATTTATGTTGGGCTTGTTACCCGATGACTGGGACTTATTACTAGAGAAGAGCAAACGCTGGGAGAAGTCCCGTTATACATTATAATACAGGCGTCATTCATTAGAGTAAATTCAGTCTCACCAAAATATGTTTTTAGACATTGAATTTATGATGCATAATTTCACATGTTTACGTGAGTCAAGGTGGTACAGCTCAAGGGACATGCATGTCGCCAACCTACACACATCTTTTCATTTTTTATTATCAAATATGTTGACATGGGAAAAATTATCTCGAGTCAGAAATTTCGATAACGATGAATTTTTTTTATTTATTGCCCAGCCCTACCAGGTAGCCTGGCAAGCCAGTCTATGTATGTAAATATGTAGTCTGGCCTCGAACCATTGATCCTACCCAGTGGGGCAGAATATATGGTTGTCTCTAAAACTGTCTCCCCACACAATTGGACAGCGCTGGGACCAGTGGTGGCTGGTGAAAATGTATGTTTTTTTGGTGGGGCGCATTTATGCCGTCCGTTGATGCACTAACCACATATAACCAACAGAGAACGTCAAATTACCATTATGATAGAATCCGCGTTTTCTACCTCAACATTGTCGCTAAATAAGCTAAATACACATATTGAGAACAACACAGTAGCAACAATGCAGTATCAAAGCCCAGCGTCTCCTCTTTACAACAATATAAGTTCCACTACTCTGCCTGCAAAACTCACGAAGCAATGCAGCAGCAAAACAAAGCTAACTTCATGAAGTCAAAAGTAAAGTCAGTTATACCTTTGCTGATTTTTGGTCATAATAATCCGTGTTATAGTAAAAAAAACACCATTAATTTAATCCAACGTCACACTGAGCTGATTCTTAGCTGTGTTGGGCATTTTTTACCTGCAGGTGAATGCTCTAAAGTCTCTGATGCCACATTCCATCATTTACCGGTTCTTCATGATAAAAACGACTCCATGAGGTGTACTAAGCTGCTCTACAACAACAAAGGACGGTGAACTGTGGAGTATTTCCAGTTCTGTCCTGACCTGAGCTTAGTCTCCGCCCTGCTGGTCTCCTGCGCATGTCTTCGCAGTAGCTATGCCCCTGCTCCCAAAGGCTCTCCTACTCTTTGTATTGGAGGGGGGTGATCTAGTGCGCATGCGCCAGTAGCTGTAGGTCTGTGGTAGAGATTGCTGCGGCCAAAGGAAACAAGAAATATATTGCAAGACAATTTGGTCGTGGCAAAATTGTGAGAGAGGAGCGTGGCTAGACCGACGTGCAGAGCAACATCTTTTGCTACATCAGTTCGTCTAGATTTCTAGGCTAGTTATCGGGCTCTCTAGAAGGAAATATTTGCTAACCAAATAGAAATGTACCTTTTGCTTGCAGACTTGAAGAAGACCCTTGCGGTGCTGCTGGACAACATCATGCTGAGGCTTGGCAAGCTGGAGACCAAGGTGGAGAACATTTACAACGGCACAGGAAACAACCTGACCAACGGCACCAGCACTGTCATACCGAGCGCCGGAAATCCAGAGAAAGTGAACGTGGCTGGTATGTACTTTTGTCTGTGCAAGGACGTCATTTTGATTTTAAAGGCTGGGGGTGGGCAAAGACAACTTAGACGGTAGTGGTGGTGGTGGGGGAGCTCAGTTAATCAACGTTCTACCTTAGTTCTATAAAAATAAATGGAATCCACGAATAAACCAAAACGGCCTTTTTAAACAGTAAGGGTGGTTGGCAGGGCTGTTCTCTCCCCCACCCAATAAATATATCACTGTGTTTGGGTTTTCCCCTTGTTACGTTAATTAGTAGGATTCCCTCAGGCTATATGGAGTGACATTAACGTCATTGTTTCATCATAAGATGTCACTTTTTTGGCTTTACGTGAAAATATAACAACCCCTTTCTGGTTTGCGTCATCTGAAAGTCACAATAACTACAACAGAGATGGTTACTGAAAGTGAAATGTGTTGCTTCTATCTGGAAATCCTTCAAAACCACATTGTTTCACTATACCTGTCAGAGTTTTGTCTGACAGTGTTTGAACTTCATTTTTTGAAAGGTAATTTTTGTCTACTTGTCTTCCTTCAAACAATAATGTCTGGGTTCTTTAATATTCACAAAATATTTGCGAAACAAATTCCTGAGTAGCAGATGCTGCAGAGCGAGTTCACACATGAATACTTACAAATCTCATCCTCGTTTCCTGCTTCTTCAACAGAGCCGCCTAATCTTGTACATTTTAGTCAAATCACTTGTTCCTGAGCTCCCGTTATGCAGCAGTAACACCCAGAACCTGGGACACCTTTTTAAACCTTAAACATCCAGCAGCTCCCTTTGAAGGTCTCTGGACACACTATAGTGATGCCCATGCCTCTCTTGGCAGCAGACCAAAGTCCGCAGCACTTCAGAGTCCCCATTGAAGCACGTCTCCTGTCTTGAAGTGGGTGGCAGGCAGAGCTCTTCGCCAGCTCCAGTAGGACTCCTTTCCTGACTGGAACGCAATTACAGAGATAAGAATCTGGACAGTGAAGGGAACACGCCTGTCTTTCAGGGAGGCTGCTATCAAGATAGAGCTGAACAGCAGCTTTGGGACTCTGCCGTTTCCACCAGGTTCATTTTAAACCCTCTTATACAGTTAATTTATGCAACGAGTTTCTTCAGTTCTTCACAATAAGGCTCATAATACTAGTTCCCATTTCACGGCGTCCTCTGGTTTCCTCACTGGGGCTTCCCCCACCTTCTCTGTGCTTGACCACTCTGAATAGGTGTCTGGTGAACACCTTGCTAAGTTAACTATGAGGTCTGGCTCCCTTGCTTATTTGGTGCTGCCGTGTCTCATTGCTGATGCTTTTTGGACTCTTGGTCCTTCTGTCCTTGCCATCATCAATACCAGCTTGACTGCTGTGGTGCCCCGTGTGGTTGTCCAGCCGATTCTAAAAGGCCAGACTTGGTGGTTTGGCTTTTACCAGTTGTCGCTCTATTTTCAAGTTACCTTTTCTATCAAACGTTTTGACGAAAATTGTCTATCAGCAGACAAGAAAATGGCGACCCCATGGACGTTTTTCAATCAGATTTCAGATTGCAACATAGCACCGAAACTGTTCATCTCAAAGGTTTTAAACAATATTTTCTTGGAGACTGACTCCTGCTGATATGTCCTCCTTAATCTCATTGATTTGTCTGCCATCCAACCATGGCATCCTGTTAACTAGGCTCGAGCAGCTGAAGGGCATAACTGACTGCACTGAATTGGTTGTGGCCCCATTTGCACGGCCATAGCTTCGGTGTCAAGCTAGATTACTTCAGCCCCTCTTTGATGCAGGGTCCCCCAAGGCTCTGTGCTGGGGCAGCCTCTTTCTTTGTTATATATTCTCCTCCTGGAGAACATCTTCAAAAAGCATGGAATACGTTACCACCTCTATGTGGATGACTCACAATTTTATGTCCCTTTCTAATCCAATGCTTCCCTCCAGTTAGTCTTTGCTTTCTGAATGTTAAGGGTTGGGAGGCTGCCAATTTTTTTTATACCTCAATGGTTCTAAACCAGAGGCGGTTCATTTTTCTCTAACTGCAAACAATGTGACTCAGTTACTATTATTGCGATTAAATCCGACTCATCCCTTACTATAGACCTTCAGGTCAACTCCTTAGTGCGGTCCTCCTTTTTTTAGTCACGACATATCACCAAGTTCAAACCGTAACACATTCTCAAATCTGTTTTTTGTGTTTTTATTAAATGATTCACCGATATGAAGTTTTGGGGTCGATAGCGATATTAAGATCACTGTTATGGCCGATAACCGATATTTGCCAATACCGATATACTGACATTAATGCTTTTAAAATCAGCAGATTTTGTATAGAATTAAATAATTAAAGCTGAATTTACGATATTATGTACACACAACACACACATTTACGGTTCTGAGATTGTTTCATTCACTGTTCACATGACTAAACAATCACACATCACCCCCCTCACCCTCTGAAACAGTAGCCTGGCCTGCCAGACTCGTCCTCTGTTTAATTCTGCACAGAGAAAGAGTCTGGTTACTCACAGGCAGAGAGGCACTTGAGGTGCGGGACTAGGCAGCTCAAAAATAACCAATCAGAAAAAAGACGGAAATGGCAACTGTACCGTGCGATGCTGTAGTTTTTTAGCTGTAGTAAAAAAAAAGGCACCTGGCAACGGCGCAAACATTTTTATTTTTAAGAAAGGCTTTTAGCGCCTCTACTTGTTGTGGTTTTAAAGACATTCAAGTCATTTAGAACAGAGGAAAGAGCCGCAGCGAACTCCGCTTCAGACTCAACGTTATGGTGTGTGATGTACGCTACTCAGCGCTGATTGGCTCGGTTAGAATTCTCAGGGGGTGGGGTTATTTGAATAGGAGAGTTCCCAGACCTTTTCTCTGTGCACAATTAAACAGAGGAGGAGTTTGGCAGGCCACACTACTGAAACACGCAAACAAATGGAGATGAGAGGGGAAAAAATGTCTGTTGTTAATATCTGCCCGGTTTTATTTATCGAACCAATACTGATATATTAAAAAATGACTAACATCGGCCGATATCGATGCCGATATATTGTCCATCCCTACTTTTATTACTTCAAAACTGGACTACACAAATTCCTCCTTGATGGGTGAAAAAAAACCATCACAAAGCAATGATGGGGGATCATTGATTTGGGTGATGGGGTGGAGGGTCTGAGTTTAGAGAATCCGGACGTTCCCTGGAGGTGGGTTCACTGGGGGTGTCTGGGACTGGGGGGCTGCTGCCCTCCTGGTGGTGCTTGGGTTGCCTCGGAGGGTGGACTACTGGCGGTTGTGAGTGGGACCCCTTGGGGGCCTTGACAGTGGCCATGGGTCACTGCCTGGCAGCTGCATTGCCCCTGAGCGGGTCTGGGTGGGGTCCTGGTGGCTCGGAGTGTGGCCGGCCCCGTGGGGGGATCTGGGCGGGTCATTAGGGGTCGGGTCCTGACATGTATGCTGCTGGGAAGAAGGCGGGAACATGCGGCAGTGCCTGGCCCGGGCCCAAGGACCTCGGGTAGACCTTGGCTCCTCTGTTGTTCCATCACACGGGAGGGGGATGTCCAGGATGGGGAGGGCCCAATCATACCTGGATGTCCTATGTCTTATATATTCTGGAAGTTGTGCAAATGCAGGGATGGGAGTAGATATTCGGCTGGGGTGGGGCTGGGTTGGTGCCCTCGGACTTCGTGAGGCTCTGTGATGCTGCTGCTTTGGGCCCTGGCAAGATGGGCTGGGGTCTCCATGCCCTGGGTGGCATTTTGGCAACAGAGGTGCCTATTGAGGCCAGTGGGGGAGCTGGCTCCCTGGAGGGTTTAAGTCCAACCAGCCATTCCTCCCCATCCCCGCTTATTTCTCTCCTCCTGCTCCCTCACATCATCACACAATCATGCACATAGGACCTTGGGGGGTGGACAAGTCAGGGAGTGTGGATATGGACCCCATTTCCGCATTCCTGTGCAAGCTGCCCCCCAATTTTTTTTGCATCTTAAACACTTCCACCAACGACATTCCACGCAAACACACACTTAGGGCCTTGGGAGTGAGCACATTCAACGGCATTTGGCAGGGGGATTTTTCAGCCTCATCCCAAGTGCCGGTGCCCACTTCCAATTTTAAAATGCACTTAGACACTGAGGGCTGTGGGTGCAACACACACACACACACACACACACACACACACACACACACACACACACACACACACACACACACACACACACACACACACACACACACACGCACACGCACACACACACACACATTTTGTTTCTTCCTTTCTCGTTCACCTCTGTCTCCGTGTCCGGTCGAAATTACAAAGCATTCAAAAACAATAACAATAGTTTTAAGTATCAGGCGTGACATTAAAAGCAGATGCTTTGATGCTCCACCTAAGCGTAAAATCTGTAAGGTTTGTCACCAGCATTCAGACATTATTTCTGTTTGCTTCACAGCCAGACAGGATATGGGGGAGAAAATAAAATAAAATAAAATAAAATAAAATAAAACATCCTTTACACACCTCCATTTAGTCCAGAATCCGGCAACCAGGTTTTTGACCAATACTGATAGACGTCATCACATCACACCCATTTTCCGCTCCCTGCTGGCTCCCAGTCTGTTTTAACATTCAGTTTAAGGTCCTCTTATTTGTTTATAAATCCTTGAATGGCTGCTCTCCCCCGTACCTTTCAGAAATACTTTGTCCCTACCGGCCTTCTCGCACTAGCAGGTCTTCCACACACTTGCTCCTCTGTGTTCCAAAGCCACGCTTTAAAACCCGAGGTGGTTTTCAGTCCTAAGCCTTGGAATGATCTCTCTCTGTGAAACAGTCTCCATCAATGAGCACGTTTAGACTTATTTATTTAATATGGCTTTTAACTGATTTAAACTTTTGAGGTCACTGTGGTTTTTGGTTGTTTTACATTGTTTTTTCTATTAAGCTCTCTATTTCAGCTGTTTTATACCCCCTTATGATCTTGTTTTAGGGAGGCCCTGTTACTGTTGTTTTTATTGCGT